GCACATTTGATTTTTTTTTTTTTTTTTTTGTTTTTTTTTTTTTTTTTGTTTTTTTTTTTTTTTTGTTTTGGTTTTTTTTTTTTTTTTTATGTTTTTGTTGTTTTTTCAGTTGTTGTTTTTTTTTGTTTTTTTTTGTTTTTTTTTTGATTAGTTTTTTTGGTTTTTTTTGTTTTTGTTTTTGTTTTTTTTTTTTTTTTTTTTGTTTTTTTTTGTTTGTTTTTTTTTTTTTTTTTTTTTTTTTTGCTTTTTTTTTTTTTGTTTTTTTTTTTTTTTTTTTTTTTTTTTTTTTTTTTTTTTTTTTGTTTGGTTTTTTATTTTTCTGTTTTTTTTGCTTGTTTGTTTGTTTTTTTGTTGTTTTTTGTTGTTATGTTGTTTGTTTTGTTTTTTTTTTGTTTTTTTTCTTGTTACTCTAATTTTTAGCACTGAAAATATAAAGAAAATAGATTATATTGAGATGATGTGGTTACACATGCTGGATTAGATTTTTTTTCAGGTGCTACATTTATATGTGAGTATCAGTTTTTGTGTGTCAGGTTACTGATAGGTTTATAGGTGTGTGGTGCTATATGGTTTTTATTTGATTGTCATCATAGATAAAATTGTTTTACTTTGTCATTAAGTAGTTACAAGATTGTGTTGACCATCTTACAAGCTGAAGTGTAGAACTCAACTCTAAAACGAGATATTAAAAAGATAAGTTATGAAGAACTAAAGTGTCTGTCTTTTTGGAGCTGATTAAATTTTACTGTTACAGCTATGATTATGTGGTTCAGGGCCAGCAGCTACAATGCTCGAGGAAAGACCTAACATCCGCAGGCGGGTAGGCTCAGCCCGGGCGGGTTCTGCGAGAGTGGGCTCAGCTCGGCCTGCAGTAGGAAGGGTGAGCTCAGCAAGGCCCTCTTCTGATACTCTCCGTCCGAAGTTACACACGGGTAGGCCGTCTTCAGCTCCTGTGCCCAGTCGTCCTTCGTCAGCACCCGTGCCAGGGAGGAATGAGTCTTATGGAACGAATAAGACACCATTGGCTCCTGCGAAATTCAAGGCCCACGATGTTTCACATCTTAATCTAAAAATTGAGGGCAAATCGGTGTGTGTTTATATGGAATATTTTTTTGAAATATGGATATAGATATAGATATGATTTTTAATAATTTTTCTGCTCCTGGGTAATTGTTGAAACAAAAAGTAAAGGTGCATTCAGTATCTAGATTGCAAGATGATATAGATATTGAGCAACATTAAGCTCAATCTAATGAAAGAAAAGCCAATATGAATACTTATTCTGTAATATTCACAGGAACAAGTAGAAAATTCAGATTATTTTTTGAAAATTTAGAATTTTAGATTTATTAATGAACATTTTTCAGATAAGATCTGTTGCATATACACCAAGACGTCATCAGCCAGTTAGCCGTGGTTCTCTGAGAGTTATATCAAGTCATGGCTATGCAACACCAAGTAGAAGGAAGCAAGTATGTAATTTTAATCCATTGTAATCATGATATAATTTTCATTTTGATTGTATAAGTGCTGTAATATATGAAGGCAATGTTTCACAGATTATTTATTGAAATGTATATGCATTATGAGATGATTGTTGTTGTCAGTGTTATTCTAGAAATATTTTTGCTTAAAAGACTCAAAGTTATTGATAAGAGTTTCTTTTTTCTTCATTTTTGTTCTTTTTTGATGTATGTCTCACCTCTTATCATTATCATAGAGTGGGTCTTGAAAAGGAAACCTAATGTAATGTATCATAATCTCATCTAGAAGCAACTCATCTAGCCAAGCCTAGCTATGTGAACATAACCCAACTTACTTTATTCTGAAAGGAGTTTGTTTTGACAAAAGAGATTAGCTAAAAGAGTGGTTGGATAAGTTTCGTAAAGCTAGAGGTATAATTGACTTGTTTCATTTGTGTCTTCAGGAGAATTTAGGGCAGTTTTTACAGACTTATTAGACTGTACTTACCATAATTCAGTTTATAATACATCTTTGTGAAAGTCTCTATAATACAGTTGCGTAGTCCAGAAACTGTCAGAATTTTATTTTAACATTGTGTCATTCATAAAGTTATATTTTGAGTTGTCCAATATTATATCAGAGCATGCATTCATTTTCATTATCTGTGTTGTAATGCATTGAATTTTGAGGTACATTCCACCCCTTCTTTTTCTGTTCCTTTATTCTCTGGATTCTCTTTTTTGGCTACTTCTCTTCATCCTCTCCCTTCATATTCTCCCTCTTATCTCCTTCTTTCTCCTTGTACATCTCCTTTGATTAACAACTTTATTTTGTCTGTATTTTGCTAGTGACTTTTACATAACTTCTCTACCTTGTGGGCCAGCATCATAACTGGTGCGGCTGCTGCAGAACTGCTAATAACAGTCCCTGCTAGAGGTGGATAAGTATGGCTAATAATTCGCACCTGGTGTCTGCTTTCACTCTGGGAAAAACACATGTATATAAATCTTAACAAATGCAATAGTGGTTATGGTTTGACACATACTCACAGTTTAGTTTTATTTGTGGATGAAATAAGAAAGAATAAGAAATTTATTCTTGTGTGGCAAATTTTGGAAAGTAAGGAGAAAGTCCTTTGGTAGTGTTCTTAGAATATACCATTAGGTCCTTTTTGTGAGTCTGAAATTCTCTTAAATTTGAAGGCTTAATGATTAATCCAGAATTGTTTATTTGTATGCATATATAGGTATGTGTGTGTAAGTGTATATATACAAAATATATATTCATGTATATAAATAAATGGGTAGATAGATAGACATATATATCATTTTCTTTATTTAATTATTCTGGCACTAATTAATGCCCTATCTAATTAGATGATTAGAAATTGTCATTGAAATGATTAAAGCAAGATTTCACTTCTGCACAGTTTATGAATGTTGTTATTTTGATCACATGCAACACTTAAAGGCAAAAAAACACTTACCTATAAGGATACATTTGTACTCTTATGCTGAGCCAGACATTGGAATGGTTTGAATTTTTCTTGCAAATGTTTTTATTTTTGCATATCAGTTTTTGTACAGTATTTCATTTGTTCTTTTATGTTTTGATGAGTTCCGATTACTTTTGTTAGATATGCTTAGTAGGCCTGTTCACTTGATAAATTCATTTCCGAGGATGATTTATGAGAACAAAGCTATTCAGTGAGACATGTTTATAAAAAGAAGAGATATGGAAAAAATATATGAACTAATCTAATCAAGTACGTTCAGCAAGTTGAGAAAAAATTCAAGACAGATGGATTAATACATATTTATCTTCTGATTTTTCTTTCAGTTTCTTTCAAGTTATAAGAGTGGCTGCTATGAAAAGCAGGAGGTGGGCAGTGATTCAGAAGGATCCAGTGTAATTGGCTTTGGGAGCACATACACTCTGCCACTGACAGTCAACCACCCAATTGTGTATGGAACTGGTCTGTCATTTCAGCAGCCATATTCCCTGAAGTCCAATACAGACTTCGGCTTGACTTTTACCAAGAGTGACAGTGATCAGTCTCAAGAGCACGATCAGTTTGGGGATACGTATACTCTCAAGTCAGCATCTGATCATCCCAATGTGAATGAACTTGAGTTTGCCAATAAAGCTTTCAGATGTTCTCCTGAAGGAAGAGATGACAGGTCTGAAATAGATTCCTATGGGAATGCCAGAGGAATTCTGAGAGAAAATACTTATAATCTGAGACCCCATTTAGTGAGCACACATAGTGACCTCGAAATTGATAACAATAGTTCCTACCACACTTCGCACAATGGCAGTAACCACTTTAGGAGAGACTTTGACACAACTTCAAATGATGGCTCAGAATGCACTGTTATGAGCTTAGGTCGTAGGATACAGCTTATGGCAAGTACTGAACCCAAAAAACAGAGAGAAAGTGAGACCAAAGACGAGAGTTGGGACACGGAGTGGAAAGAGCTCCTGAAACAGAATCACGAGTTGTTGTTGAAACTCTCAAGTAGGGATGAGCCCCCCGCATTAGAGAACTCAGGGAGGTGTGACCATACAAAAACAGTGTTAGTCCATCATAGTGGTGTCCAGACCCAGTTCCAAGCAAACAGTTCAGGAGTTAGTGAAGCTTTGGAAATACCTCTGAGAAACATGTCAGGGGAAGAGAGATTTCAAGATCACGAAGAAAAGCAACATGCGGAAGAGCTTGAAGGGGATGAGGACTTTGATGGCCAGGAATTGGTTGAGAATTGTGAAAGTCCAGAGTGTGTGTTAGAAGATATAATTGAGGAATCGAGTTTGAGTGACAAGTCAACTCCAAGGACTATTGTAGACCAAACTCAGGATGACATAGAAAGCTCGACTATTCAAACCAATATGAAAATAGATAGTACTTCCCATGGTGATGCTAGTCCAGAGAGTCCAAAAGACTGTCATTCCCACAATAAAACAAACCAGCCAGAAAAGGAGGAAGATATAACCCAAACAGTTGAATCAGGCCAAGGGAAGGGAGTCACATCACTCTCAAACTCGTATGATTTTTCATGCACTACAGACCTCCCAACCTACCGCCCAGGCTCTGCTGCTGCATACATAGTGCGTAGCCGCTGGACTTCAGAGAAGCGTGTCAAGTCACAGGGCTCAAAAGATCTGCTTGAGGCTCTACAGATGATAGAAGATGAAGAAAAGAAGACTTCAGAATCATATGAGAGAGAGCAAGGCAAAGTGGAGAGTGTAGCTGAAGTTCCAGTTGTCTATTTTCAAGATGCAGGAGTTAATACCAGGCAGATATATAATGCAAAATCTTATGAATTTCAACCAACTGAGAGTATGGGCAGTTCCCCTAAAAGGTAATGTCTGATTTATTGTGTTGAAGGAAAACAAATTGGGTTTATTTATATTCAGTAATAACAAATCCCACAACAACTATTCATTTTACAAAATCCTTATCTAGGAGTTAGAAAATTAGTTGAAATCTTGAAATCTTCATAAAGAGATAACTTTCTTTAATGTATATAATAGAAAATAGTGTCCCTACATTATCTGTATTATGTTTCAGTTTGTCTAACAAAACTGCCTTGAATAATTCAGTGTAAGGAAAGTTGTATATTTACTTATGTACCATGTACTCGTATTTTTAGATCCATCACTAAAGAAAGTGAGATGAAACCAATAAGTACCACACCACCTATACAAGAATGCCCTGCTACTTTACCTGTGCTACAGGTATTAGTAGAGAAAGTTTTCCTCTTTACACAAGATTTAGCTGAACGTTGGCAGAAAGGGAATACTGAGGGTAAGTTATGAAACTAGTGTTCTGCACCCTTGACTCTTGGGGGAATGTGATAAAATACCTGTCCCCAATTTGAATCTGACTCTGTAGATAAATTTATTTCTGTAAATTACAAGTTTGAAGTTCTAGATAACAATAATGATGATACTGATAATGATATTGATAATAAAAGTGATTTTGTAGAGGTCTAGAACTGGATTTTAGATAATTGTTTTGAAGAATAGGATATGTATGGATATGAATTGGAAATATTCATTTTGGGAAAACTAGGTGCTTCAAAGGTATCAAGTTAAGGTGAGGTTCTTTTAATGTCATGTAATTCAGATGTTAAAATGGTAGATGGAGAATTTTCTTGCTTTGAAGTTAATTTACAGGTCACTAATAATACAATGGAAACTATTAGGTACAGATCACTAGTCCTTGTCTTGACATAAATGTGTACTTAGATATCTTGCAGGATATTACATTCTTACTTGAACTCTGCTCCTTGCTTTAAGAATGGAAGATACCCTGTTGTTGTGAGAAATGTGGGTCAGATGGTACAGTAGGCCACCTAATCTAGTTTCTGCAAAGCATAGAACCCATTATATGATACCGTAATGGCAGGGTTGTCCTACGATGACCTGCTGAGGTTATATTTAAACTTTCATACAAAATGATTTTTAAACTTTCGTCCTTGTTGTGAGAAATGTGGGTCAGATGGTACAGTAGGCCACCTAATCTAGTTTCTGCAAAGAATAGAACCCATTATATGATACCGTAATGGCAGGGTTGTCCTACGATGACCTGCTGAGGTTATATTTAAACTTTCATACAAAATGATTTTTAAATATTATATAGAATATTAACATACTTCCTTCCTCTCGACCATCTTCCTCTCCCTCTTACAGCATGTCAAGAAGAGCTCCTTAATCAGATAGTTGAGGCTGAGAAACAACTAGAAAACATCTGCATCCAAGAGAAGCGTAAGGAGGACCCAAAGAAGAGTCCTGAATTGCATGCCAAATGCGAGGAGAAGTTGAGAAACAAGCAAGAGGAAATGGAGGCCAGAATCCAGAAAAATCTAGAACTTATACGAAAGGTGAGACCAATACGACTGGAATTTTTGTTGAGAAAGCAAAGGGATTGAATCTTCTTGCTACAAAAGGGGAATTGAATCTTTTTATGTAATCGTACCCCAGCTCTTGAATCTTTTTGTTGAAGGAAGGGTTCAATTTCTATTTTGAGGAAATGTGTTGGTACCTCTATATAGTGTAATAGTTTGTTTACTTCCAATAATTCAGTATTGATCTAAGTTGTTCACTTTGCACTCATTTTTGCTAGATTTAACTTCTTAGAAGGTTAATAACAGTGCATGGTAGAATTATCTTGTTCAGAATTTCATGCTTCATAACAAATACAACTGGAAAGGCCAGCACATGTGTTTTATTAAGTTATTAATTTCACTAGTATTATAAGGAATTTATAAAATGTGATTTTGTTCACAAAGTATAACACCATATAGATGTAACCAAGTTTTCAGATGGATTTTTTCTTAAGAAGGATCTAAGATTTTTCTTCCTCACATTTTGCAGTTACTAGATGATAAGAAGACACTGACTGAACAATGTGAAAAGCTTGTGAAAGAGCAAAGAATTTCTGAGAAGAAGAATGCAGACAAGGTATTTCAAGAAATGAACATCAAATATTTTGAAAAAGAGACAAGAGTGAAGTATATGGAAAATGACTCTTGTAGGGTAAAGTTCGGTATTGTAACCATTGACAACTCTTTTTGTAGATCAAGCTAATGGAAGATCGCCACATGCAAGAAATGAAGTCCCTACGTGAGAGGATTACAACAGCAGAACAAGAAAAGAGGGAAAAGTGGACCCAACAGAAGACAAAAGCTATAAAAGTAAGCCACTCAGCATGTTTTATACTTCTAAGGAGAGTAAGCAAAAAGTACAAGAGGGATTTAGAAAGTGGAGAACATCTGAAATTAGGCCACACAAAAATTTAAGATATATTTATGCCTCCTTGAAATAGAAATACTCTTTAATAGTTGGCATGTTTATTCCTTGTAAATTAGATGTCGTCATAAATTTGGTACTTTCTAAGTGCAAGGTATTTAGGGCAGGGTTCATAGATCCACCACTGCGGGAATGTCAGATGTATAATAATAGGCTATGTGAATGATGTATATGACATTTTTTGTTTTGCAGTGTCATTTGAACAGTTGTTGTACCATCTATTGTTGTGATTTCACTTTTTACTCTAAAAAGACCATATGTCATTTGTGTAGCCAGCTAACATTGTATGTAGGATAATTGTAAGAGTTAACAGATTTTAGAAACAAGTGACTCAAATTCACAGGAAACCACCTATCGGGGACTGGAAACAAAGATGAAAGACCTCACCGCAAAACACCGTGATGAGATAAGCGAGCTAAAAGCACAGCATTGGGAGGCTCTGAGGGAAGCAGAGGAAAAGATGATAACACAACTCCGATCCCAAGAGGAGGAGCTCAAGAAGAAGTATGAGCAGGAGAAGGAGGAGGCTTGCAAGAAGGAGAGAGAGAGGGAGCAGCAGAGGTGAGGATTTTTTTCCCCTTTTTCTTTTTGTTTCTTTTGTTTTCTTAGTTTTCTTTTTTCTTTTATTTCTTTTTTTATTTTATTTATTTATTTATTTTTCTTTTTCTTTTCCTTTCCTTTCCTTTCTTTGCTTTTTTCCTTTCCTTTTTTATCTATCCTTTCTTTTCTTTTCTTTATTGTTCTTTTCTTTTCTTTTCTTCTTTTTCTTTATTTTCTTTGTTTTTTTCTTTTCTTTTCTTTTCTCTTCTTTTCTTTTCTTTTCTTTTCTTGGCCTTTAATTGTAGTTGGTCGAGGGAGATTTCTTATTAAAATTGATTGATTATTTCTCCTGTCATAAGAATAATGGACTAATGTCCCTCTCTGGATACACTGTGGATCCTTATGTCCTTTTTGTGGTTTCTTAGGGTCAGAGGGTTATGCTAGAGCATTTCACTAGAGAGGAATATTGTGATTGAGACTGGAGATGCATAGTACCTTGTATCATTTACTTGGCAATTTTGATTTTGGTTTATAATGAGATGTTCCTTTAACTATGGGAATTTAATTGCTGTGTGAGATTGATATTGACGTATTTTGATGACTACAGAGTGCTGATTAATTTCAAATGGACATTCAATTTATGAATATTATATATCAGCAGTAGAATCACAGATTTAGTAATGTGAAATGTATTGTCATAGACTGGATTTAGAGATTCGACAAAGTGAACAGCTGTCCCTGACTCGACTGGAGACAGTCCGCAAGCAGCAAGAAAGGGACATCAAATCCCTGATCGAAGAGCATCACCGAACCTTAGAGAGGGAGCGTTCAGACCGAGAAGCAGCCCTGAAAGAGGCTAGTAAGGAGAAGCAAAGAATTATAGAGGAGAATGAAGAAAAAATTCGGAATCTGAACCGCAGACATGAGGTAATTTTTTTTTCTATCATTTAATGCACAAGACAGAGCATTTGTTATTATAAAGTATGACCATAAATGTAAGCAGAAGGTGAAAGAAGAATCTTTACCATTTTGTTTTTTTACATGTTAATGGTAGAAGTAATTTTACATGCTAATATTTCCATTTCATTATTACAGACTTTTTTATCTCAATTTATTTACCATCCAGTATGCACACAAAGCTCTGCATTATCCCATTCATTAGGGAATAAAACACTCTGAGCACTGTTTCTTGTGCTTGGTTTTATTTTTATCACTCCTATTGCCAATACTTCATTCACTGCATATACTCATCCATGACAAATAGGAAGAACTGGCCAACCTCAGACAACGAGATGAGAAAAGCCGATCAGAATGGAGAGAGCAGTTCATGAAGGAGCAAAGTGAGGCTAAGAGTCAGTCAGATAGAGAGCTGCGGGAGAGGTTGAAGAGGCAACGCGACAAGGAGATTGAGCGTGCAATCAAGGAGATCCAGCAGGAGACAAGCAGTCGGGAGAATGAGGAACACAGAGCATATGAAGCGAAGATGAAGTGAGTTTTTCTTTTCTTTTCTTTTCATTGTTATTGTTGTAATTGATTTCTATCAATGGTAAAGAATGATTGTAAATATTAGTTTAAGATACTTCTGTTTGCTTGTTGTTACATTTTGTTGATATTGAAATATGTAAAAACTTGCATTTTTGCTATGTTGATTTACCAAGAATTTTGGCTTTTCAAGCAGTAGTATTAACCAGAGGAACTTACCTATTTGCAGGAACTTACGAGAGAGATACGAGAATGAGTTGAATGAACTGGAAAGCAGTGAGCGTGCTGCCAGAACCAGATATCTTGAAATGAAATCTGTTTTAGCGCAAAAAGAGGAGGAAATTGTGTACTTGCGTGCTCGGCTCCACACACAGGACTTAGAACTGTGTGAACTTCAACATGTAAGTGTTCGTAAAAGGTGTTCATTAAATTGTGAAATGTATTTTTCAGTGTTTCTCTTTCTTTGTCACTGTCTTGCTTTCTCTGCTCCATTTCTCTCTCTCTCTCTCTCTTTCTCTCTCTTCTCTTCTCTTCTCTTCTCTTCTCTTCTCTTCTCTTCTCTTCTCTTCTCTTCTCTTCTCTTCTCTTCTCTTCTCTCTCTCTCTCTCTCTCTTCTCTTCTCTTCTCTTCTCTTCTCTCTTCTCTCTTCCCTACTCTACTCTCCTCTTCTCTTATCTCCTCTCCTCTCCTCTCCTCTCCTCTCCTATCCTATCCTCTCCTTCCTCCTCTCTTACATACTTTGTTCCATCCACGCTATCAGTATAGTCACTATATCACATAATTTGATTTTGTGGCACATGATAATCACCAGAGAAATTTGAATTAAAATTGCGGAAAATGGGTGCTTCTGTTTCATATTTGAGTTGTAAGGACTGTATTTTGTTATTATTCAGTGACATTAATTCGTAACATGGAAAATCTCACCACCAGTCACACACAGCAATACCATTTACTTGGCTTACCAAAGAGGTACTGGTTTCCGCAACTCTGCATAGCTTATATAAAACATTGGGAGGTAAACTGTGAAGATGTGTTATAAGGGAAACGCCTGGAAATTGGATTGATTTTTTAGGATATATGTGTTCTTTTTCTCTCATCCACTGAGCATGTGCCTAGTTAGAGGAGAATGTGTTTCTGTCACTGATGCTTAACTCACATCACTGAGGGGTAGTCTAGGAAAAGAAAGTAACTAATAAAATTAAAAGGAAAAAGGTAAATAAATGAAATGAAATAAGAAAAAAAGAAAGAAAGAAAATTAAGAAAAAAAAAATCGAATGACTGTTGGTAGGATTGGGTTTTGATACGACTGATTCCTTGTGTTATTGAAGTCACCAGTTGCACAGATGTTGGTCTCTTATTTCAGCTTATTAGCAAAAGATTATTCCAATGACTTTGTAATTTCTTGGTTCTTCTCATTGCTTAATGGCAAAATTGCCTTTTCTCTATATTTCTGTTGTTTCAAAATAGTGACCCTGTCATTAATTACCTATCCTAGACATTTTCTGAACTTCCATGCTTATGTGAACCATTACTCAAAAATCTTTTCTTTAAAAAATCTTCAGAAAATATAAGAAATCTTGTATATGATCATTGAATCTCCCAATTCCAGATGTTCCGGCCTCCAGATGACTAGGAGAGTGTGCTTAGTCGGTCCTGGATAGGTTTTGATATGCAGATTGGGGGTCATCATCATTATCATGTCAAGGATCATTCTTGACCCCAACTGACCCTTGCTGACCTGTGCTATGAGGCCTCTTGAGCTGTTACTTCTTCCGTAACATTCCCTTTTTTGAATTGTATAGCTTGATATGTTTTGTACAGAACAGGAAAAAAAACTTTTTAGCAGTCAGATGTTTGTTAAATGGGAAATACTGCAGGCCTGGAATAAAGGGATATTGTGCATGTATGAACATTGTTGAAAAAGATGAGCAGAGCCTTGAAATTTCTTGTAGTTTAAAGAGTAAAGCATGTAGCATGCAAGATACAAAGGTATGTTGGCTGCACTAGACTTATCACTCAGTGCTGATTTTTTTTCTTCAAATATTTAAATGGATAATGCAATAATAAAATCCATTATTATGTGTTGCTGTCAAATATATATATATTTTTTCTTATTATGTACTTGTGTACATGTGAGTGCGTATGCTTGTGCATGTGTTTGTGTGCCTATAAGGTGTGCCGGCTCTCATCTTGTTTCAAATTATATTAACAGTACCTCGTTATTTCTATTTTTTTTCTTAAATTATCTGGAATTTACTAAAGTCTTGAATATACAGGAAAGAAAAAATGTGTTATAAAGCAAGTAAATAAAGTAGGAAGAAAGAAAACTTTCCAGTGCAGTATGAAAGGTATTGAAAAACCTTGCTGTAAATTCTGTTTTTCTTGCTTTTATTGTTTTTAGTTGTTGTTGAAAATATTTTACATTTTTGATCAAGGTTTAGGGTATGGTGAGATTGTAAGGAATGTAGGTGTGTACTTCCATATCACTTTCCTAATTCTGTTAATTAATTCAGAAATTTCTTATCATTAAAGATAAGAATTGTACAAAATATGTATTATGACCAAAGATAGTTTTAAGTAATTTTAGTCTGTAAGATATACAAATATTCTGTGTCCTGAAATGTTTTAATTCTTTCTTTTAAACAAAGATGTCCAGTTAATGCTGTCTTAAGAGTAAAATCAAATTTATTTGGGGAGGGATAAAATCTCGAAAAATGTTGATATTCTTACTGGTCATCTCCAAGCATGATCCAAAATAATATAAACCAGAATTTGGAGCCAATGTTGAATAGACTTATTGACAACGGAAATTATCAGTTCTTGAGAATAAGTTAGAGACTAGATTAAAGATTAAAATGCTTGTGAGTTTCTAATGTACTTAAATGACCATGACAATCTTCTGGTTTCATTGTAGAGTTTACTGTATATATCCAATGTCATCATAAATTGAACATTTTAGTCTAAAGCATCTGTAAATATACATTATTTATACTTGTCCTTAATTTATTATCTTCATGAGTTTTATTAGTCACAACAGAAAACAGAAAAAAATAAAGTCAGTGCAATACATTTTCTTGTGTTTTCTTGTGATTTGTCATTTTTGTAGAAAAATAATTGCAAATTATTAATTAATGATAATAATGATGGTAATGATTATAATAATATTCAATGATAATAATAATGAGCATGGTTATGAGAATGAT